CTGTGTGGTTGTGTGGCTAACTGTGTGGTTGTGTGGGTAACTGTGTGGTTGTGTGGTTAACTGTGTGGTTGTGTGGGTAACTGTGTGGTTGTGTGGGTAACTGTGTGGTTGTGTGGTTAACTATGTGGTTGTGTGGTTAACTGTGTGGTTGTGTGGGTAACTGTGTGGTTGTGTGGGTAACTGTGTGGTTGTGTGGGTAACTGTGTGGGTAACTGTGTGGTAGTGTAACTAACGATATAGCAGTGACCAGAGTGTTTGACTTAGGAGTTCAATGCACTTAAATAAAGTTGTTGGAACCAAAGTTTGGGTTTCTGTGATGAAAATAACAGGACTGGTCGTAAACTTAGCTCGGTGAAAACAAACTTGACAAATTTACAGCTTGCAGCTTGAAACACCAGAATTTGTTTCTAACTTATGCTGGCAACATGAATTTGTTGCTAAGTTATGCCGGCAACATGAATTTGTTTCTAACTTATGCCGGCAACATGAATTTGTTGCTAACTTATGCCGGCAACATGAATTTGTTGCAATGTCCTCTAGACTACCACCCCTGACCAGCCCTCTTACAGGATTCCCGGGACTAACATATTCGAGCCCTGGTTCGAATCCCGTTAAGACCACTCCTCCGACGTCTGCCTAGGCTGTAAAGTCGGTCTGGAATCAAATTGGTCTCGCGGCCTCTTGTCTTGAAATCTTTCTGGCACCGTTCTTTGAGGGCCCGAATTAGTGTGACCGTAGTTAAGTCACACAGGAGCTAATGTGGTGGGGGTGGGGGGGGGTGTGTGTGGGGGTGGAAAGGGTATAGAAGAAGGGAGGCAAATCTCTAGAAAAACAACAGAGTACAGAGCCCCTGCTAAGCCGATAAGAAATTTTAAGTATAAAAGGGAAGCTACTCTTCGCGAAAAAAAAACATGGGTGATTAATCCTGAGGTTGGGTAACTCTTCATTTGGGTTGTAATGTTGAAAGGTAGTGTTCACACAGATTATCGTTAATATGGGGGATCATCCGAAGCGAAAGTAAAGGGGGATTGAAATGCTGGTAGAACAGGAATCAGAGAAGGGGGAGGGTGGAGAAGGGGGCGTGGTTTCAAGCATAGAGGAACAAATGTATGTAAAGTATGGGCATCGGTGCTTTAATGAGGGATTGATGACGTCAGGGACACGGGAGTCACGTGAATCCAGGCTGGGGAAATTGTATTAGACTCGCTGGGTTCAAGGGAGCCAATTTGACAAGGGGAGTTAATCGCGAGACAAGGGGAACAAATCTTACTTCATGGAGAGTAAATCTTTATTCAACGTATTTCTCACAACGAGGAGCATGAACTTTAATACAGGGGAAGTAATTAGTAATAAAAGAAGAGTAAACCATACTTCAAGGGAGGCAAATCTTGTTACAAACGTAAAAAAAAATCTTATTTAAGAGAAGGTAAATCCTACAATTTAAAAATAGTTTTAGCTTAACATTTTCCGTAGAGATCATTACCTAGTTTTACAATAAGGATTATAATATATGAGCTCAGATTAGGTAAACGGACGAAACTCTTATTTCAAGGGGAATAACTCGCACTTCAAGAATAAGTAAATCTCACAGAGATGTAGTGAGTTACTTCAGAGGCTTAGACAAGGTCGTTCTAAAAAAAGCAGGCACGAGAATGGATCTGTTGACGTCACCACTACGCATCACTACCGGTCCAGCACATTCCAGCTCGGAAACTCCTGTAGCAGTCGACATTGGCAGACGTGAATGTAGGACCATCCGTGTGTGAATGACGTTGTCATGACAACAAAAGGCGCCGATTGGATCAAATTATTTTTTGTGTGCGTGATGGATTGGGTAAAATAAATGTTTAGTTGTTTTTTTTTTCAATGTGTGTGGTGGTGGTAGATTAATTAGCAATGCTGATTGGTTGTGTTGTTTCATAAAGATGGGCTTAATTAGCTTTTGCTGTGTTTTACCGGTGCACACAATTGCTGTATTCGTCAATGGTGATTCTGGTGACTGCAGGTGCTTTGGCCACAGGTGCTTGGACCACAGGTGCTTTTACTACAGGTGTTTTTACCCTTTGTGTTTGGACCCCCTTAGAGTTATTTAATTAAACTGTGAGCGACGTTGTTGTACTTCTAATGTTAATCGTCTCAGGTCAAAACCAAACAGATTCTGATTGGAATTTCTTTCCGGCATCTCTTCGGCAGTGGGGGGGGGGGGGGGGGCGGTGCCCTCCCGAAGAACGTCTACCGCCCCCCCCCCCCGATCGAAATAGAATTTATATAGAATAAGTATACTTTTATCAGTGTCCGCCCCCTCTTCGAATAATTTGAAGTCCCCCCCCCCCCCTTTTTTTTCTGAGAAAAAAAGAGAAAACATTCTGGAAGAAACACTGCTAACTACTGCAGTTTCTTGAGCATCGTTTCTCTAAATGTCTTGTCCAACAAGTTGATTCAATCAAATTAAAATGTGTCCTCTGTCCCAATGATCAGTGGCGTAGCGAGGTCCGGTGTCACCCGGTGCGACACTTAATGGTGTCACCCCCCAGAGGCGTAGCGACCCTTCCCGGGGACAAACTTTCAAGTTTTCGATTTGCACCCCCCCCCCTAAAACTTTCGATTTGCACCCCCCCCCCCTCAAACTTTCGATTTAACCCCCCCCCCCCCTCAAGTTTTTCTCTATATATTTTGCTATTTTTTGCCTTGGTGTCACCCCCCCCTAAATGGTGTCACCCGGTGCGGTCCGCACTCCCCGCCCCCCATCCCTCCCCCCTCGCTACGCCCCTGCCTATGATTGTTGACTTGATTAGACCTAACGCGAGAAACGGTGTCAATGTTTAATAGAGTTTTAAGAAACCATCAGATGAGGGGACATTTTTTTTTTCATACAGAAAACTGGGTATGAGCCTAGGTAACTCCGTCAATGTAAGCAGTGTTTCTAAGTTGTTTTTACAGTTGTAATTTTTTTTATCTTAAAGAAGAACTTCTGTAACGATAACAAAGTTAATTGAATTGCAAGTTTTGACACATCTTGCACTCAAAATTTTAGGAAGAAATCAATTTTTTTTCAAATAGAAAAATAAGATCTCATTAAAAAAAATTAAATGTTTCATCTATGCTTTAATTAATTAGTAACTAATACTATAGTTGAGATCAGAGATGAGGGTTGTTTGGACGAGGGTGGGGTTAAACGGAGGAGTCAACCGCAAAAAAAAAAATCAACTTTTTAAACTAATCAAATGTAGGTATTGTAGAATGGAGAATAAATTCCCAAAATATTTTTCAATAGAGCAGGTAAATTGAAAGTGCGCCTCGTGAAACACAATGGTTCTTTCACGACCTTGATGGGTACATTTGCTGGCACCAAATGATGCTGCTACCCCCTCCCCCTGATGGACACTGTTAGTAGCACCTGATGGGAGAAAAAAACCGTAAGGAATGTAGGCCAAGGTGTGAGGTTGTGGGAGTTCATACAGCTACATAAAGAGCAGCTGTACATCTATAAACATCAACAGTAGGATACGAGTGCTCGCCCCTAGACTGGGTTCAGGCCCTTAGGGTAGATCCGTGATTTAAAATATTGCAGAAGATGGTGTGGAGACGGGTCGCATGAAAAATTTGGGGAACTTTGGTCACGTGATGACCGTGTGACAGCTTGTCAGGTGACTAATTAGAGCTGGTTTAAAATCTTTTCGTTAGGATTACGTTTAAGGTGGGATGTTAAAAATGAGGGTTTAAAAACGTTCTAAATTGAGTACCCGTTCAGTGTAAAGCTTCGATCTTCAAATCAGGTGGAAATCCCAAGGGCTGTGCTCGGCACTTGAAACAACAAAGCAGACCAACTCTGCTTCACCTATACCACAACGCTTTTGTTCGCATTGTGCGTAGAGTTTACTTAACATTTGAAATTCAAAGATCGTCACGGGAGACACGAGTACATTCCCTTATGATGGAGCTCTTGTTGAAAAAAAGAAAAAAAAATCTGACGATCAGGGGATCCTGGTTCGATTAAAATGTAAATGTAGCGATGGGCGGGGACTGGTAATGAAATCCTTACACAAGCAGGGGGAGAGCATCAGGAATTGCACGAGGCAATCAAGAGTTCATGGCCCTTGCACTGGCATTTGTCAACAAGACGAGGCCATGTTACGGAGCTGGGGGTGGGGGGTGGGGGGGGGGGGGGGTAGAAAGGGGGGGGGTTGTAATAGGGAGATGTAAGCATTACACTGTGGAGGGGGGGGTGAGACAAATATAATGAGATAAATAAAAACTAGTTTTTGAAATAAATTTGCCAACGCTAACAATTAAAGCAGAGATTTTTGGGTCCCTATGTAAAACACAACGCTTAAGTTAAAAGAACTAGTGTTAGATCAAATGACGTCAAATGGCTTTCTGTGACCATCTATGACTTTGGGGGGGGGGGGGTATTGTCGGTTAAACAAAAGGGTCTTGTCATTTATGGACAAAGCCTAATGACTTACGCTTATAATTAAGAGTGACGCTGACTCTTTTGATAAAAGTGTTGCTGACGCTGACTCATCGCGGTGAACGCGAATGATGGCTAACATTTTCTGAACACAAATGTACTCTTCTTATTAACAATGACTCCGACAAAAATGAACATGGAGTCTAAATGGTTGTGTGACGCATCGACGCTTCTATTCATTGTATGCTAATATCAGGCTTGAGGTCAAACTGTTATACAGATGACATGTGACATATAGACATATATGACGTGGGATAAGTCTACATGAGAAGTGTGACACATGACATCTGTCTGTTGTGATATGTGATGAGTGACACATCTGGCAAGAGACTTATGACATGTGACATACGACAAGTGGCATATGACATGTGACATACGATAAATGAAGCAGATGACAAGCGAAAGAGATATCAGGTAAAACAGCTGGTATATGACACATACGTCAAGCGACATATGACTTGTGACATATGACATGTGACACATGACATGTGACACATGACAAGTAAATGAAATAACAAGATGCACTCACCAGAGGTCGCAGGCGGGTCACGTGTCACTACCTTATATGGGTTTCTGCGAATGATGGATGGAAAACATTTTAAATTTTAAAAAAAATTTAATCACAAAAATGACATTTTAAAATTTTGATCAAACAAACAGAAGTTAAAACAGGGTGTCGTCACATTCTTAGAATTTCAATTCTGCTGGGATTTTTAAAAATATTCATTTGAACGAAAAAAAAATTAGAAATATTATCAAGTTGCTTTCTTGAGTGTTCATGAGAGATGATGTTATTTAAGACTAAATAATTAAGGAAAAATAAATGTAAATACATAGAACAATAGCTGATTAAGATTTTAATATAATAAATTTCTGTAGTTTGCTGTAAAGGGGTTGTTTTGATTTTAACCAACCCCCACCAAAAGTGATAGGATAATTAAGATTTTACTAATTAACTGTCTGTTTTTTTAATTTGTTGAATTAGACACAGGAATTTGCTGAAGAAGATCTGGGTCCCTACCCTTTATAGGCGTGCCATACCTACCCTTATAGGCGTGCCATACCTACCCTTTATAGGCGTGCCATACCTACCCTTATAGGCGTGCCATACCTACCCTTATAGGCGTGCCATACCTACCCTTATAGGCGTGCCATACCTACCCTTTATAGGCGTGCCATACCTACCCTTTATAGGCGTGCCATACCTACCCTTATAGGCGTGCCATACCTACCCTTATAGGCGTGCCATATCTACCCTTTATAGGCGTGCCATACCTACCCTTATAGGCGTGCCATATCTACCCTTTATAGGCGTGCCATACCTACCCTTTATAGGCGTGCCATATCTACCCTTTATAGGCGTGCCATACCTACCCTTATAGGCGTGCCATACCTACCCTTTATAGGCGTGCCATACCTACCCTTATAGGCGTGCCATATCTACCCTTTATAGGCGTGCCATAATAAATTTCTGTAGTTTGCTGTAAAGGGGTTGTTTTGATTTTAACCAACCCCCACCAAAAGTGATAGGATAATTAAGATTTTACTAATTAACTGTCTGTTTTTTAATTTGTTGAATTAGACACAGGAATTTGCTGAAGAAGATCTGGGTCCCTACCCTTTATAGGCGTGCCATACCTACCCTTATAGGCGTGCCAAACCTACCCTTTATAGGCGTGCCATACCTACCCTTTATAGGCGTGCCATACCTACCCTTATAGGCGTGCCATACCTACCCTTATAGGCGTGCCATACCTACCCTTTATAGGCGTGCCATACCTACCCTTATAGGCGTGCCATACCTACCCTTTATAGGCGTGCCGTACCTACCCTTATAGGCGTGCCATACCTACCCTTTAAAGGCGTGCCATACCTACCCTTTATAGGCGTGCCATACCTACCCTTATAGGCGTGCCATACCTACCCTTTATAGGCGTGCCATACATACCCTTATAGGCGTGCCATACCTACCCTTTATAGGCGTGCCATACCTACCCTTTATAGGCGTGCCATACCTACCCTTATAGGCGTGCCATATCTACCCTTTATAGGCGTGCCATACCTACCCTTATAGGCGTGCCATATCTACCCTTTATAGGCGTGCCATACCTACCCTTTATAGGCGTGCCATATCTACCCTTTATAGGCGTGCCATACCTACCCTTATAGGCGTGCCATACCTACCCTTTATAGGCGTGCCATACCTACCCTTATAGGCGTGCCATATCTACCCTTTATAGGCGTGCCATACCTACCCTTTATAGGCGTGCCATACCTACCCTTTATAGGCGTGCCATACCTACCCTTATAGGCGTGCCATACCTACCCTTTATAGGCGTGCCATACCTACCCTTATAGGCGTGCCATACCTACCCTTTATAGGCGTGCCATACCTACCCTTTATAGGCGTGCCATACCTACCCTTATAGGCGTGCCATATCTACCCTTTATAGGCGTGCCATACCTACCCTTATAGGCATGCCATATCTACCCTTTATAGGCGTGCCATATCTACCCTTTATAGGCGTGCCATACCTACCCTTATAGGCGTGCCATACCTACCCTTTATAGGCGTGCCATACCTACCCTTATAGGCGTGCCATATCTACCCTTTATAGGCGTGCCATATCTACCCTTTATAGGCGTGCCATACCTACCCTTATAGGCGTGCCATATCTACCCTTTATAGGCGTGCCATACCTACCCTTTATAGGCGTGCCATACCTACCCTTATAGGCGTGCCATATCTACCCTTTATAGGCGTGCCATACCTACCCTTTATAGGCGTGCCATACCTACCCTTTATAGGCGTGCCATACCTACCCTTATAGGCGTGCCATATCTACCCTTTATAGGCGTGCCATACCTACCCTTATAGGCGTGCCCTACCTACCCTTTATAGGCGTGCCATACCTACCCTTTATAGGCGTGCCATACCTACCCTTATAGGCGTGCCATATCTACCCTTTATAGGCGTGCCATACCTACCCTTATAGGCGTGCCATATCTACCCTTTATAGGCGTGCCATACCTACCCTTTATAGGCGTGCCATATCTACCCTTTATAGGCGTGCCATACCTACCCTTATAGGCGTGCCATACCTACCCTTTATAGGCGTGCCATACCTACCCTTATAGGCGTGCCATATCTACCCTTTATAGGCGTGCCATACCTACCCTTTATAGGCGTGCCATACCTACCCTTTATAGGCGTGCCATACCTACCCTTATAGGCGTGCCATACCTACCCTTTATAGGCGTGCCATACCTACCCTTATAGGCGTGCCATACCTACCCTTTATAGGCGTGCCATACCTACCCTTTATAGGCGTGCCATACCTACCCTTATAGGTGTGCCATATCTACCCTTTATAGGCGTGCCATACCTACCCTTATAGGCATGCCATATCTACCCTTTATAGGCGTGCCATATCTACCCTTTATAGGCGTGCCATACCTACCCTTATAGGCGTGCCATACCTACCCTTTATAGGCGTGCCATACCTACCCTTATAGGCGTGCCATATCTACCCTTTATAGGCGTGCCATACCTACCCTTATAGGCGTGCCATACCTACCCTTATAGGCGTGCCATATCTACCCTTTATAGGCGTGCCATACCTACCCTTTATAGGCGTGCCATACCTACCCTTATAGGCGTGCCATATCTACCCTTTATAGGCGTGCCATACCTACCCTTTATAGGCGTGCCATACCTACCCTTATAGGCGTGCCATACCTACCCTTTATAGGCGTGCCATACCTACCCTTATAGGCGTGCCATATCTACCCTTTATAGGCGTGCCATACCTACCCTTTATAGGCGTGCCATACCTACCCTTTATAGGCGTGCCATATCTACCCTTTATAGGCGTGCCATACCTACCCTTTATAGGCGTGCCATACCTACCCTTTATAGGCGTGCCATACCTACCCTTTATAGGCGTGCCATACCTGCCCTTATAGGCGTGCCATATCTACCCTTTATAGGCGTGCCATACCTACCCTTTATAGGCGTGCCATACCTACCCTTATAGGCGTGCCATATCTACCCTTTATAGGCGTGCCATATATACCCTTTATAGGCGTGCCATATCTACCCGTGAGTGACGTGGTCTATATTAAGGGGTGGGGTCTGCGTGCTTACGGGAAGGTCCCGTACCCATAAGGGGTGGGGTCTTTACCAATGGGGTCAGTATCCTTCATTATTTACATAGTTGCAAACTAATGTTAACGGTTTTTTTTTAAAACTTACGAAGTTAAAAATAAACTTACGAAGTTAGGTTTGAATCTTGGGTTAGGGTAAGTTAAAAATAAACTTACGAAGTTAGGTATGAATCTTGGGTTAGGGTAAGGTAAAAATAAACTGAAGAAGTTAGGTATGAATCTTGGGTTAGGGTAAGTTAAAAATAAACTTACGAAGTTAGGTATGAATCTTGGGTTACGGTAGTTAAAAATAAACTGAAGAAGTTAGGTATGAATCTTGGGTTAGGGTAAGTTAAAAATAAACTTACGAAGTTAGGTATGAATCTTGGGTTAGGGTAAGTTAAAAATAAACTTACGAAGTTAGGTATGAATCTTGGGTTACGGTAAGTTAAAAATAAACTGAAGAAGTTAGGTATGAATCTTGGGTTAGGGTAAGTTAAAAATAAACTGAAGAAGTTAGGTATGAATCTTGGGTTAGGGTAAGTTAAAAATAAACTTACGAAGTTAGGTATGAATCTTGGGTTAGGGTAAGTTAAAAATAAACTTACGAAGTTAGGTATGAATCTTGGGTTAGGGTAAGTTAAAAATAAACTTACGAAGTTAGGTATGAATCTTGGGTTACGGTAAGTTAAAAATAAACTGAAGAAGTTAGGTATGAATCTTGGGTTAGGGTAAGTTAAAAAAATACTTACGAGGCTGAGTTAGAAGGCATTGTGGGTGAGACAGAAACATGGGCGCCATTTTTGTCTCGCAGAGAGATGACGGAATGTCTGTGGACAAAAATGTTTTATTAGATATGGGGACAAAATGTCTTTTTACACATGGGGACAAAATGTCTTGTTTAGATATGGGGACAAATTGTCTTGTTTAGATATATGGGGACAAAATGTCTTGTTTAGATATGGGGACAAATTGTCTTGTTTAGATATGGGGACAAATTGTCTTGTTTAGATATATGGGGACAAAATGTCTTGTTTAGATATGGGGACATAATGTCGTGTTCAGACATAGGGACAAAATATCTTGTTAGACAAAATGTCTTATTTAGTTATGGGGAAAAAATGTCTTGTTCAGATATGGGGAAAAAATGTCTTGTTCAGATATGGGGACACAATGTCTTGTTGGTCATAGAGGACAAAATGTCTTTTTACTTATGGGGACAAAATCATGTATTAGACATGGCAGAAAATGTCTTGTTAGACAATGAAGGAGATCATTATGACAAGTTAACTCTGCTTCCCCTGCCCTTAACACCTCCAGATATCCAACCATCTGATTAAGAAGCAGGTAAATGGCACCTATTACACACATGTTCAACGTCTATTTGTTTTGAAAGTCTTCTTCCTCTTCAGAATGAGTTACGTGATTACATTTTAATGCAGGCTGATTAAAAACATGGATTCGGAAAAAAACCCATATAAAAATACAATTCTAATTTTAATTTTCTTTCGTTTCTTTTTTAAAAAAAAAAAAACTTCCAGTATTACAACTTTTCAGCTTTTGGGTTTTGATAGTCAGTGGCTTGAGCTTAGTCTCAGTATTTCATGACCTTTGGGGTCAAGGACACCTGAGTAAAGAGGTCAAGCCGGAAGTGACTTACTTGTTGACGCCTGCGGCCTGCGCTATCAACTCGTGAATGTCACGTGAGCTGCTATGTCGGCTGAAGATTATCTGGGGGAGAAAAAAAATTAATTGGTCATTTTAAACTATGTGGATTATTAGACTTAAAATATCGAATACAAAGTGGTATAATTAGCTCTTTAAACATGATTTAAAGTACTCTTTCTGACGCTGTGGTCAGTGAAGATAGATCAAGAGGTTTGGTGAATTCTAGACCACTGTTCGATTCTCGACCTCTGATATCACAAGCCTGCAACACTGTGCGGACATCATTGTCACAAACAAGGGAACCGAACTCCGGATCTTCTGGTTAGTAGGCGCGGGCTCTATCGCTCGACCGGGCATCCAGGTACTATTTTTTTTAAACCAAAGAACATACTCGGTGAGTTAGGATTAAGATACGAGCGCAAGGATACAGAACCTACGACGCGAAAAGTGCCATTGCCGCCTCCATTCCCCACCCCCATGGTGCTTCAGCATTTAAAGCAGAGGTTTTCAAGCATTCTGGCAACCACATATGAGCAACATTAAAACAACAAGTATCTCACTAGCAGCTTCCTCATTTGATTCATCAAGCAAGCATTCTCTCTCTTTATATATATATATATATATATATATATATATATATATATATATATATATATATATATATATATATACTCTAATCCGTTTCAGTGTTACGTGTTCCTAACTTAAACTACGAGGGAAGTAGAATTAAGGAGAAAGCAGACAAAGAACGATCAGGGGATGGGAGGGAGTGGGATTGTACATGGGGCTCGCCTTTGTGATCTTCTAATCCAACAGTGACCCTCTCACTGTGAGATAGTGACCCTCTCACTGTGAGATAGTGACCCTCTCACTGTGAGATAGTGACCCTCTCACTTAGAGATAGTGACCCTCTCACTGTGAGATAGTGACCCTCTCACTGTGAGATAGTGACCCTCTCACTGTGAGATAGTGACCCTCTCACTGTGAGATAGTGACCCTCTCACTGTGAGATAGTGACCCTCTCACTGTGAGATAGTGACCCTCTCACTGTGAGATAGTGACCCTCTCACTGTGAGATAGTGACCCTCTCACTGTGAGATAGTGAGATAGTGACCCTCTCACTGTGAGGTAGTGATCCTCTCACTGTGAGGTAGTGACCCTCTCACTGTGAGATAGTGACCCTCTCACTGTGAGATAGTGACCCTCTCACTGTGAGATAGTGACCCTCTCACTGTGAGATAGTGACCCTCTCACTTAGAGATAGTGACCCTCTCACTGTGAGATAGTGACCCTCTCACTGTGAGATAGTGACCCTCTCACTGTGAGATAGTGACCCTCTCACTGTGAGATAGTGACCCTCTCACTGTGAGATAGTGACCCTCTCACTGTGAGATAGTGACCCTCTCACTGTGAGATAGTGACCCTCTCACTGTGAGATAGTGACCCTCTCACTGTGAGATAGTGAGATAGTGACCCTCTCACTGTGAGATAGTGACCCTCTCACTGTGAGATGGTGACCCTCTGAATGACTAGGGCTAGTATCAACATATTTTAAAGTAAACGTAACCAACAGTTAATTTATTTTGCAATAATTTGATTACATGGCTAAAAAGACCATGTGAACTCCTTTTACCAACATTATAATACTAACCAAAAGTAAGCCAATTGAGATGAGTTAATTTTTTATTTTTTGGGTGGCGCTAATAAAGGCTTGTAAAAATCGTAGACCGGTGACAAATTGATATTTATGCTTAATCCAATTGTAAGCCAATTGAGATGAGTTAATAACGAGTGATCGAAAATACGTTTAAGCAGGTTTTAGCCTATGGAGTAATTACTAAGGAGAAAGTTCAGAACTTTATACGATTAGTATTTATTAATCTCACCAGTTTCTATTTTCAAATTAATCTCGCAGCATCTAATAATATACAGAATAGAAAAAATGTTACCTACGGATTTCAATTAAAATGTTTAAAAATAAAATAAAAACTAGGAATACATATATATTTTTCGTAATTATCAAAATTGTTTATATTTATAATGACTTTTGAGAACATTTGTACAAGCTATCTCCCCTATAGTTCAAAAACGTGTCATGGGAAGTAACTAGCGGACAGGCTCAATGTAAAACAATCCAAACTTTTTTGTAATTGTTTGTTTCTAAACTATTAAAATAGTGATGTAACATACAGTGGCGGAACTAGAAAAAATGGGCCACCCCGCAAAATTTTTTTTTGGGCCCCTAATATATGTATATATATATATATATATATATATATATATATATATATATATATATATATATATATATATATATATATATATATATATATATATATGTATGTATATATGTATGTATATATGTATGTATATATATATATATGTATATATATACATACACACACATACAAACACAATACGAATATAGGATACTCCTTTCTAGCCTGATCGGGTTTTGAAAAAAAAATTCAATTAAATCTAATCACAACAGCATGTCATGTGTATGAGTGCATTGGTCTGTTTTGAAAATCTCTGTTTTCATTTATGATAAATACTTCTAATCATTAAGTCGGTTAAAAGTATATGAAGCTTTGTATAAGTAATGGTGTCTCGTGTTATGTTTATTTTTGTTATTTTTTTGTATTTATATTATTAACTTTAACTACGTTTCATTTTTATACTATACCATTCTTTAGTACTTATTTTTTTTAAAATAATAATTAAGATAAGTAATTGCTTTTTAATTTGATTATTAAAAATCTATTAAAAAGAGCTTTTGAGCACCCCTATTTGACTATTTGAAAAATTGGAAATAATTTATGGAAATGGTTTGAACGTTTGCCTATCTTTCACACTACAGCTGTGTTTATTATTTTTTTACGCAACAGCATGTCTTAGCTACTATATAACAGCACTACTGTATTAGATCTGTATTCTGTTTGTCACTTACAAAACCACTATCAAGTTGCCAGTGACGAAACTAATATATATATATATATATATATATATATATATATATATATATATATATATATATATATATATAATCTGTATCTAAACAGAGTAATTTAGTCTACTTCATTGCAATATATAACCATTCTTTTTTTTTTTTTTTTTTTTTTTTTTTTTTTATCTTTATGAACATTTTATTATGAAAACTAGAGGCATCAGTTTAACAAATAACAGGTATTTAATACTTATTAAAAAGCAGTGTCGACAATTATTCAGCTATATGCTCAACCATAGCAATTTTACTTGTGTTAATTTGCTAGTTCAGTAAGCTGGATCTAACTAAAAATGCATTAGAAAGTTTCATAAATATTAGTTTACCATTACTTTCATTACAAAAATTCAGTAGAATAAAATATTCATTGGATACATTGACTTTTTAAAATGTGGAGCAGTAAAGCTTGAAAAATGTGGAGACTCCATATGAGACTATTTTAACTGAGGTTAGAGAGGTTCAGTTAGACATAAAACCCTGTAGTGTAGGGGTAAAACTACTTTTTTTTTTAATAGACTGTTATAAAAATTACAATCTAAAATTAAATGTTTATTCAACAACCAAAAGTTTAGACAAATTTAAGACTTAGAAAAAAGTTTTATGTACAGATATTTGAACAAGTGTTGGCAAAATAATTCTTTGGCACAAAACTATTTACGCCACATTTTTCAGCAGATTTAAAGCTAGTAAAAAAAAATACAGGAATGTGTTGAGCTCATTTAAAAGAAATTGTTAAAAATTTCAGGATTTAATTACAACTTAGGTTCACCAGCAACTATCTGGTTCTCAATACCGCATTCATCACGTCCACGAAGAATTTTGAAGAAACCTTTGTCACCCCAGTCAGGGTTCCAGGAGTTGGCCACCAGCCAGTACTTGGTTCCATTTTCAACACCGTATCCAATTATCTTAACGGCATGGCCTCCAAGCTCTGTTCCTGATGCATGCTGATACACACCACTCTTGTAGTTGAGGAAATCACTGAAAACAGAAAAAGCTGCCTCAACTGGTCCGTTCTCTACAAGCTCCTGCATAATGTTCTCTTCACCTGAGATGCTGAAGGTTTTGACACCAAAGTGTTAATCCTTAGCGTATGGAACAGTGTATGAAGGTTCACAGACTTTTTTGCATGGTGGTGTGGGTAATTCTGGTCCACCACAGGGTTTGAGATGTCCAGTGGTGTGGTGGTCACATGCGGGGATCAGATATGGCTGACAGCCCTCGGAACTATTGTATTGACCGCCTGACACAATTCCGGTATTCTGGTAGAAGTTCCAGGCCTCAGCTGGGTAGCCACCATCACAACCATCCCCACAACTCTCACAGCAGGAGAGGAGGTCCTCAGCTGAGAAGTGGAAGTTCTCTTTTCCCTTGGAGTAAATGCAAATACGATCTGTCATAGCTGCAACAGCACCAAAAGCCCAGCAGGAGCCACAGTTACCCTGGTCCCGGACTTCTTTCAGGGATGGGCAGTGTGGGAACTCAACTCTAGGGTCAAAGTTTTCTGGCAACTTGGCAGAGCTCAGTTTGGTTTTAAACTGTCGCCTTGGAAGGCTCCTGGTTAAGTATTCAGATTTCTCCATGTTTGGTACACCAAGGAGTTTCCTCACAAGGTTGTGCTCTTTAGGATGAAAATTACGCCCAGCCGTCCATGTAGTATCAGCTATGTTGTTGATGTAGTGGATTTCGTCATCATTGAGAAGGCCAAAGTCTGGGAATAAAACTTGCCCAGCTGTGCAGGCGACCAACACGGTTGCTAAGACAACCAGCAGCATGTTCAAAACTAAGACTACTTGCTCAAAATGAAGACTGAAAATGGAAAGAAATCTGAAAGTGCACTGATTACCACGGGCTTTTTAACCATTCTGAGAGAACAAACTAGACACATTTTTAATGTAACTGGTCAAAAATATATAAAGACGTAAGCTTAATTCGTGAATGGTTTCTCGCGTTATGTTTATTTTTTTCATTTTTGGCTTTTATAATATCAATTTTGAAAACATTGATTTTTATATCTATACCATTGTTTAGTACGTCTTATTTAAATAACAATTCAGAG